ATTTTTAACAGCACTTTGCAGTTTATTCCATAATATCTGCCCCTTTTTTAAAAAGAAAAAATTAAATAAACAAATTAACCCTTAAGTAATAAAAAGAAAAAAAACAACAATAATCCTCATCAAACAAATTATATGAGTACATATTATTCTTTTTCATATTTTTTCAATGAATCAATTTTAATCATTTGCTTAAACAGAAACATTGATCTGGCATTTTTAACAGCACTTTGCAGTTTATTCCATAATCTTATCCCCTGAATTGACGTACGTCGTTCCTTCAAACTGGTTCAAAATTTAGGCTTCACAAACATTTCAATCCCCTTAAGATTATAACTGCTCTCTCTTTTCACAAAACTTGACTGGATGTTTACAGGTAATATGTTCTTATGAGCCTTATACACGACCTGCAAAATATTATAATCTACCAACTCCCTTACAAATAATCTTTAATTTCTAAAAAAAACCATAGCAGCACAAACAATAATTTCAATTGCACAAACGATGCATTAACCACTCATCTAATTTGCATTTTATTTTTCTGTGGTTCATTTTTTGGGAGGGGTCAGCTTCACTCATCTGGTGTTATAACTGATCACAGTCCTCCTGACACTTAACAGCATACACAATATTACTCCTTGCTGGGGAACTGGATCTTTGGGGTGAACCAATCTTTGTCATTGTTTTGGGGTTTGAAAGCCAGTGGGACGTCATGTTTAGAGAATTATCACTATTTGTTTCAGACCTTTGACATCTTCTAAAAATCAAGTTTGAGAACCTTCACTCCATGCATGATTAGCCTGAATCCATTGTTTCAAATGAGAAGAAAAATAATCTCATTAACTCTGTGGCCATGCAGACGCACTGTACTTTTCTAAAGCACTATTTTCTCTTCTTTCACACACTGAATCACTCACTCTCATGTTGGTCAGGCCGTGTGGATATCGCTGGTGTGAGTTCCATTAACAAGCTAATCAAGGAGAATTTTCCTCCTGTAGCGTAACCCACATTTACATGGCTAATGGATAATGACTTTTGATTGGTCATTTAGCAGCCTGGTGTTACCAATGAATGAGATTTGAGTCATTACTACTGAATATGCTCACACACACTCTTACACAGTGGCAAATTTAGTTTCTTATGCACTCTACTTCATTTGCTCACAGACACACAAACTCACACAAACTCACACAGAATGTACCTGATTTTGCCATGTGACAGGCTACCGGCTGACCCTGTTCTCTCCATTAGAGAGTATAATTAGAGCAACTCACCCCGGTGCTCAAACACACACAAACACTCGCACACACGCATAGAGTCAGTAATTAGAGCAGCTCACCCCAGTGCTTCCACAACAAACACAGCATAATGCCCTCATTATGGCCCAGTCATTTCAGGCAGGGCTAATCAGTCCCACAGTGATTTATATCACTTTTTCCTGTTCGTAGCAAATGAAATCTGTAGGCCAAATTAATACTGGCTTTTCATCATCGCCCAAGTTAAAAAGCCAGTTACCATCACAATTCCCCTCATTAATTTAACGGCTGAAAATCCCAGGCAGGCGGAGTAAACACTCATTATTGGAACAAATTGAAGAGGGGCAGAGCAAGTGAAAGAGAGAGGAGGAAGATGTGGAAAAATCTTTTAGAGCAAATGCAGCATTGAATTAACTTCACAAAAACAGATTGATCTTTGTTGTGTGATCGGACCAGGTGAAAGCTCTCAGTCTGAATGGAAAATAAACAAACTATATTACAAAGTTTACTTTGCTTTCACTTTCTAACTTTGTTTTCAAATCTTTGTGTTTAAGCAAGAGGTGGGAATCTTGGAACACCTTTTCATGATTTAATTTAGGTAAAATTCAGAAGGCTGTGATGCAATGATAACATTAATAATGCCTTTAGATTTTTTGGAATAATCAAGTTTGTGAATAAACACCAGAAAGCAGCTGGTAAGCTTTATCTAAAACACTATGAAACTGAAATGTAAAAACAGAAATGCAAATTTAGAAATTAATTTAATTCAATTCAGTTTATTTATACAGCTCCAAGTCACAACATACGTTGTCTCAGCTGTATATAAAAAGAACAATGTAAAGAAGAAAGCAGCAGATTGTGTTGAATCACTTCATCACAGTCTCCCATCCTGAGGAAAAACTCCCTGCTAATCAGGAAGAAACCTCCAGCAGAACCAGGCATTAACCAGGAATTAAAATCTCTATCGTTTGTTTCCCATAAATACACACATTAATTTGTATATTTTCTTGCAAAAAAATAGTGGACATTAACATGCCCTAGTAATTAAAACCCCTAATCACAGACAGCTTTTCATAAGAATGTTATTAAAGTAAAGTTGGCAACTCTGCTAAATATTGGTCAGCAAACATGATTAGCATTGTATTTATCACTCCAAAGTCATTAGTAAAAACAATCATATTGTGATAACTATTAATTAGGCATATTCTTCAGAGTTCAGTGAATAAAAGAGGCAAAAGATGTGAACACATCTTAACTACAAGAAGTTACTGGAACTCTATAGGGACAAAATCTCACAGCTGTGAGTCTGCTTTCTCACTGGATTGCCAAGCAAAGACATTAACAAAACTGTTTGACTTTTAGAAATTGATTGAAAATCTTTCATGCTCAACGATGTGATGCATCTAGAAAATATAGAATGGAAATTAAGAATTACACCTGTTAACATTCAGCGGAAAGCCCACATGCCGTTTTGTATTCATTTTATTTTGAAGTATCATATCTGTTTCCTGTTCAGCCTGTGTCCTTGTGCAATGCATCAAACTTGATGTCTAGGCCCTCCTCTTTCGATTGACATCTCATTTGACCAACTGGGTTCAAGTTTCGGCTGTCTAGGGCCAATAATAATCAGTAGTGACCAACTTCCGGTTTTCATCTTTCTAGCTTTGATTGACTGTAAAATCGGCCAGTCAGCTCCGAGCTTCGTTCTGATGCCACAGCTGTGTAGCCAATCACCATACCTTTCATTTAATGTATATATAGAGGGGGTGGGAACTTTGTTCAGTGAAGGAACACAGTGGAGGCGGCCATATTTCTGCAGTGTTACTATACTAAAGAAGGCAGCTAACGCTCGCAGGAAAACGTTTTCCACTGTTTTTTGGTCAGTTAGCTGAAGAAACCTGCTGATAAGATGAAAATATATTTGTTATTAAGTGTTTCGAGTGCTTCAAGACATGGAAGAGTGATTTTTGTGGCCAGAAGTAAAATGATTTGGATAAAAAACTTCCACTCGCCATTTTGAATCGCTAATTTTGACATATTTGAGGACAAATATTTATCAAATCTGAGTGAAAAACAAATATTTTTTCACTGCTGGTGGTTTTAAAAGCTGTGTGAAATGTTAATGCTCTGAAAGATATAAGGATGTATTGTTTATTCTTGTGGTTTGGCTGGTTATTGGTGGAAATTTGGCTGAAAGTACAGTGTTGGTGTAAATATTTATGAATATTACTATATATATATTATTTTAATCATGCTGTGAGTAAATATGGATGGTAGAATGTGTTTTGTGGGAGTTATATCTTTAATTTGAGCCCAGAGTGATGTCAGTGTGTTGAAATTAGAGTGTTCTAGACAAAGTGTACAGTTTGGGCATATGTAAATGAGTACAAATATGCAAATGAGACATGCTGGATTGTACCATGTGTCAAATATTCATATTTTATGCTACTGTTACCAAATTAGAACTGGTAACAGTTGAGAATTAATATTTTAGCCCAGTAAAATTTGTTTGATAATATCTCATTCCCTTCATATTCTATGATACTTTAATAATAAAAAAATAAAAATTTAGGGAGAAGAATTATCTTGATTTTTGTGTATTTTACTTCAGTATACTAAATACTAGTTATAGTTACAAAGAATATGACTGCTGAAGTTAAAAATTCAGATTTTTAGCTTTAAAAAGAGACCAAGCTTGTGAATTTACTCTAAAGGGTTCAAAAGCAGTACTCCATTTAATTTGTGTGTACTTTTTAAGGCGTTTTATGGTATTTTATGCCCGAAGGTTAACTCAACAGAAAATTAGAAGGAAAAAAACATCTTGTTTTGATGAAGCCTGCTTGTTGATTGTACTTGTTGATTGTATGTTTGAGGCAGTTTTTTTTGTGTGTTTCAGTGACTCAGTTGAATCTGAGGCCAAATATAGCAGCTCATCAACTGAAAGCTCCTCAGAATCAAACTCTGAGAGTGACTCCGACTCTCCAGCTCAGCAGAAGATCTCTGTGAAGGCCAAACCCAAGGTGACGTCATCATTTCACTGTACTTGTTTTGGTCCAGTATGATAAAATTGGTTAATTGAGAATCAGAGCCATTTGTGACCATTAACACTAGAGATGTGACATTCATGAACTATCAGAATCTTTTGAATGGCTTCTTACAACGAGAAACCAAGTCACGGGGCAGTGTAAGAGCCTTTTGGTGTTTCATTTATTTATTCCTTGTAAATCTTTATTTTTCGTCCTTAACCACAGAGACAATCGCTCCCACTTCGCTTTTTCATGGGCAACAGGCAGAGCGGTGGCGTACAGTAGCTCAGAGAGAAAAGGGGAGGGGTTTCCGCTTGACCAAACACATGGTTCCGCTCACATGATGTGAGGATGTAACTTGTTCAAACTGGAATGGCTCCTCAAGCTCCAAATCCCTTCAAAGAGCCATTTATCCCATCTGTAATTATAACCCCCGCACACGAAGCGTACGCAGGAGTCCTATTGTCTTCGTACTGTTTATTTATTTATTTTATTTTTTTTCAGTGGTTTTTGGTCAACCGTAGCACAAAAACAGCTGCACCAGTCAACATGAAATTTGTTAGGGCTGTAGATGAGTCTGACCTACACTGCTCCAGCCAACGGTTTTATGATAGACCCCATATTTGAGGAGGGGGCTCCATCCAAAGAGGGGGTGTCTGAACATGCAAAATCGCTTATAACTCAGAAACTGTTCAACATAGAAGCTTCAGATTTCTTTTGTTGTTTAGCTCTGATGAGGGGCTATCCATCACGTCCAACCCCCCCGCCTAAAAAAAGACCCCCACCCAAACCACTACAATTTTGGAATGCATCTAGTATCATGACATTTATTAGGAATAAAGACTTCTGAGTTCTGGTGCATTTCTGCGTGCGGGGGTCATTATGTTACCGCTATGCTGTATCTTATTAGAACACATGTAGTCTGTGTTCATAAGAAGCCACAGAATTTCCAGGTTTTTGTCTTTAATATTTTAGCTCAAATATATTTTACAGCACAGTTTACAGTATGTGATGAGTTTAAAATTGTAAAAAGGGAATGTCTCTCTTCAGCTCAACAACCTGTGAGTAATAACTTCATGTTCTCCCAGCAGTGTGAACTGAAAGCTTCGAAATCCTGATTTACACTTTGGGATATAATTTAGCTCTCAGGCTCTGGTTTATTTTTCTTCTTCCAGTCTTTCATTTGCTTCCCTTTTCAGCTCTCACAATCTTTTTCTTACCTGTTATGCTCATCACATCGTTTCTCACCCTCTCTTTGCTTCTCTGCTCTATGAAATTTTCATTTCGTTCACTTTGTCATTTGGGCATGGCCTATGAATTATGCATCTTTCTCTCCATCTCTTTCTACACGGCTCTTTTCGGACCACTCCTCAGCGAAGGGGTTTCCGTCTCTTTTACCCCGCCAAGCGTCAATCAAAGAAAATCTGATGAGATACGGTCTCTAACTTTATGGCCTGTTTTTATTCATATCTTTCTCACTCCTCTGTCCTGTGTTTTGTTCTGTTTAGATTTTTTGTCCTATTTGTTCAATGTGAAGTTGACTGAGTGGAATTTTATGGTGCTTTATGTGATGTGAATGGAGCCTGGTTGGTTAGGAGTGTATGGAGAAAGGGTGATAAAATGCACTCTAATGTTTAAACATGTTTTTTTATTGGCTCTTGGAGACGTGAGCTCAAGGCATGGGTTGTCAGCTAGTGACAAACCTGGCTCTGTTGTACAAAATGCTGCACAGTGTTTGGGAGTTGGGACATGCTTCTTTTGCATGATAGGTCACTTAAAAACACCAGACATGTTGCATAGAAATGTCCATAAATCCTAAATCTGAATTCCATGGACTGATGATGAAGAAGCTAAGATACCAATATTCAGATATTCAGTTCTGCTTTCTACTGAAGTGGCATAAAAAAAGAAAAAAAAGAATTCCGTGGACTTTGGGAGTAGAAGTGAACTGTTTCTTTATTTATTTTACTCAACTGAACTTTTCTTTTAGTCCTCTTGTTGTGAGCTGCTCACCATCAATAGATGCTTTTGTTTGCTTTTTAGGTGGAGCTGAAGGCCAAGAAGGAAGTCTCTTTATTGGACCTGGATGACTGTGAGTTTATATGTATATTTTTACTGGTTAGGTGGATAAAAACAAACAGCAATAGGCCACAAAAAGCCATGATGTATATTCTAACACAAAGTTGGGGTCGGGACCCAAAGTGGGGTCCTGAAACATCAAGGTGGGGTCCTGAAAAGATTTTYTGAATTAATTACATTTTTGCCTTAGTTGTTAAAAATGAGTGAGGTTAGTACATTTAAAATGGATAAATGTAGTATAAAATATTGTTACTACGCCCGTGTTTTGTTGACCGGATACAAATGTTTATCTTCGAAAAATAATTGGGGACACAGGTCTCTGCTACTGTTTTGTACTATATTGTGGGTCAAAAGCTGAAAAGTTTGGGAACCATTGCACTTTGGTTCCCAAATATGGGTCATGAAGCACCTTGGATAATCTCCAGAAATCAATTTAAAGGGTAATAAAATAATTGCTGATGTAATGT